TATTGGCCCATACAGAATACATCATTTCCCATACAAAATAATTTGGGATCCAAAAGACCCCGTTGTGCTTTTACGTTAGTATTTTGTATAAGAGACTTCCCAAAACTTCATCTATGCACCAAACATTGAAATTTTTGATTTTATCACATAGATATGATATTAAAAAAGAAAACGCTCAGCGAAATTTTCCAATTTTTTTTTATATTTTTGTGATTTTTTCAAAAAACTAACTCTTAGGGCCTAAGAGACCCCACGTGTGCGTTTGAGGGTTAAATATTAAATGCGGTCAAAATTCAGTAATGATTTATGGCGTTTCAGCTCATACATATATGTATGCATCCAACACCTTACGATCAATCCACATGAAAACACACAAATTAAGCAACTACTTGCTGTTGAAGGTGTCACCCGATTTGAAACATACTGCGTTGAATTCGCAAGCAAATACCAAAAATCAATAAAAATCCATTATCTCATTCGACGTGTTTTCTTCGATTTCTGTGTACGGTTTTTTTTTCTTCAAGAGAATCGACCGTAGTTTTGTTTCAATCGCAATATGTTAGACAGAATTGAGCCGATGCTGTATATGTAGCACGTTTTTTTAAATTTCAAACCGTAACATAGCCTAGCAACTGGTAAATGAAACGCTACATTTTTCTTGTGATTTGATTTTCCGACAGTGAATATCGTTTGTCGTTTTTACAAACATCAAACGAGGTCACCGGTTTTTCAATTGTTAGCCAATATTTGATTTTGCGCTGAATATATTGAACGAAAAAAAAAAACGTTAGAAATGAATTGGCCTGGCCTATGAATACCATCGTTGTTGTAGAATGACAAAAAAAAGTGATCGCCAACGAAGACCTAGTCATCTGTCATTTCAAGTAATTACCTTTTATACAAATGGAAAATGCGTCACACAATTTCATTGATTTCAAAACAGACGACCGGAACCTTAATTATTAACAAACAAAATGTTGTCGTTTCGAGATGAACTTGAACGTTATCCGGTAATTAAACTTTTATTCAACGCAATGGTCATAACATTGCGTGGTCAATTTTCATTTCATTTGAACCTTTTGTTTATATGTAAATGAGAATATGCGAATACGAGTATTCATTTCATACAAAAAGACTACCTCATTAATTTTGCATACCAAAAAAAAAACGACTACTAACAATTGAAACAGATATTCGCATTTTTCACCATGAAATATCGTAAATACACCATTTCTCATATTTAATTGAACTCCAATAAAAATAAAACAAACCCAGCGAATAAATAAACCAATGCAGCCACAAAAAACAACACACCGGATTACTTTCACTCACGTTTTTTTTACTATCTGTTCAATCTTGCTGTCTGATATTCGATCACTTCTGCTAAAAATTTGCTGATTTAGTACATGATTTTTTTATTGTTTCTTTCAAATTACACACAAACAAAAAAGACAATTTGTGTAATTCTCATTCTGATAAGTGAAAAAAGATCAAAAATATATTTAAAAAAAAAATGAAAAACCAATTTTTGTTAAAGACATAGAGTAACTTCTTTTTGTCCATCGATGATTGTTGATAGTCTTGCTAAATTTGAGTCTAATGAACAAATAGGAAAAACGGAAATTTACAAGTGATTAGCAGTTACAAACAGGAATGAAAAAAAAACGCCAAAACTCTATCTAGATAAAATGTAAATTAATGCACCTGGAGGGGAATGGATGAGCTCAAACACGATGCTCAGTCACAAAATGTCAACCATGGTATATTCCCAATTAGGAAAAGTGCAAGTTATGACTAAGAGACAGTAAAGAAAACGCCGTTAAGAGCAACAGAAATCGATGCCGAGTAGGCAAAACGATGTGAATGGCGTACGATCCGAAATAATTACGAAATCTGATTATTACGTTATACCAGAAACTCACACGTGTAAACTCACATAAAGCGATGCGGCCGGTCGATCTCTATCTGTTGTGTAACTTGTTCACTGGCGAATGCTACACCATACTTATTTTTATGTTTATTCAATAATATTGATGATGGCTTGTGATCGGTTAAGAAAAAGAAGAAGAAGAAAAAAACTCAACTCACACTATTTTTCTCTTAACTCTCACATTGGTTTGCGTTTGATGTTGATTTTTATTAAGTTGCTCGCACAGAAATCAATGTGCACTTATTCAAATTGATCAAAGTGGACATTGATTGCGATTAAAACATGAATGAAATTTAAAAAAAACATTGACTAATTGTTGTTTATCCGGTTTCAAATTTATAGATTTTCCTGGAATGTGCTTTGCATCGACACGATGTGCCACTGTTGAACCAGGTAACATTATAAATACATATCAAACATTTTCTATTGTCTAAATAAATCGATTTTATTTATTGAAATTTAACTAAATTTTCAAATAATCCAGGTAAATCGTGGGATTTATCACCATTCTGCGGAAAATCAACATGCGTGGTTTCAAACGATAACAGTGGCCGGTAAGATAGAGATTTTTTGTTGTTGATATTGATACGAATTCTCCTTACAAAATTGACTCCTTACAAAAAAAATCTATTATAAATGAATGAATTTTTCAGACTACAAGAATTGGTTGAAGACTGTGGCCCATTGCCAATTGAAAATAATCGTTGCAAATTGGACACCGACCGAACAAACAAATCAGCACCATTCCCATATTGTTGTCCGAAATTCACATGCGAACCAGGCGTGAAGCTTGAATATCCAGAAATCAAGACCGAAGCACCAAATGATAAACAATAAACATCCTATTTAACCTAAACACACAACCGCACACACACACACAAACACACTCAAATTTACAAAACTTCTTCCTTTCAAACACATTCAGATAAGGAGACAAATTGCTGATTCGAACATTTTGATTTTTTCCCCTTTTTTATTTAAATCTCTTATTTCATTTCATGATATATATATATGTATAAATTGTATATGTAAAATACTTTCAGTAGAAATCGGCTGGACGAAAAAAAAGCTAGAAAAAAGAGATCTTTTAATGCACTGTTAGGAACAAGATAAATCTGCAAGAAAAAAACCATGATATAATTTAATTTTATATTAATTTAAAAAGGACAAAAATAAAAATAAGATATTTTCACCAAAAAGCCAACCATTGATCGTTTTATTTTCTTTTTCTCAGCTTCTATAGTCTACACAATTTTATTTTATTAAATCAAAATTTTAATTATGGATACACTATGTTATGGATTGTATTCAAATTCTAAACATGACTAAAGACATCGTTTAAATGTGTGTCAAAGATTTTGTTTGCCTCTTCGGCGATGTCTAGTAGTGTGGCATTTTTATTGAATATTACAAAGGAGTGCCTGAAATTGGTCGATCGTTTGACGATCCAATAGTCGCTCAATGTTTTTACAATGATTTCACATGAACTGGACGTATTTGCATCTTGTACATATAAATCATTTAGTAAATTCATTATTTCACGTGGAATTGATCGCTTCTTTTTATACAATTTTTGATTGAGATGAATGGTTCCATTGTGTTGGCAATTTAATTCGTTGAAGAATAAATATTTTGTTGTTTGCGTCGATTCATCCGAATTTGAATTTGCAATCGATGTGGATGACGATGATAAAGATGATGTACAGAGCAATGATTTTCCCGTAACAGTCTCTTTGGTTAAATTTTCAGCTATCTCTGATGCTATATTGGTCAACTGGGGCCCAATAAATGAATGTAATTCCTCATAAAACTCGTTGGTTAATGCATTTTTATCTGATAAAAAAAAAAAAAAAGAACAAACTTATTTTCACTTTCACGATTAACACCTCGAACCAATAATTCTAATAACCAATTTTACAATAAATGAAATTGTACATCAAAACACTAGGTCAATTATTATTTCATGTTTTCTGGTGTCAAAAATGTTCAAAATCAACAACAAATACCTTTAACAAACATGCACAAAGTTCCACTGAGCGCATTGTAAACAATCATTTTATATGCTTGGCACTCTCCATTATTACAAATATAAACCGTTGGTGGTTTTTTGCAGTTGTCACTTTGATTAGTTGGTCCAGCCAAATAGGCACCATACTGTGTATCTAAAACATTCGAATAGTTTCGAGTCAACGATCCACCGCGAACATCATCCGCCGAACTTTTTGGAAATAATAATCCAGTCAAATACTCATATATTGAATATAAATCGCTTGGATTTATTCCACTCCTAATTTGTATGAACAATTAGAAAACACATAATTCAATCAGCAAAACTATCACTTTAAAAAATGTAAATACCTAAAGACATGTTACTCACCATACCAATTGTTCGTTGAATAGGAATATACAGTGATTGATTGCAACAAAAGTTGATTCAATCATTTGAATAAAGTTATGAACCCTAAGGAACTGGAATTTGTTCAGTGGCATATACTGAATACTACGGAAAACATCCAAAATATCACAGTTGCGAGACTTTAGCGTTGTTACATACTGCAAAAAAAAAAAAAACAATTTCAATTTTTTATCACAACCAATAAACATTAATTCGTCTACCTTTTCATAAAATTTCGTCAATTTGGCTATAAGAGAATCGACTTGTTGTATGTCATTTTCACCGACCAAATTATCACCAAATGTTCCGTTGAATAGACGAAACATATTGTAGGATTGTTTAAGAACTTCTCGGTACACGATTTCATGAGCATCTTCACAACGATATTCGGTGTACTCTGATGCAACAGTCTGTCCTTCGCTCAAGCGAGTCTTTCGTTCCGACGGTGCATTAACAATCTTCAAAGATAATACATAGATTAATGTCACTGCTCAGCAATGCTTGAGAATAACGTAATTACCATTATCATCCAAAACTCGTCTTCAGGTTTGAAAAATAACTGCAACGTTTTCTGCGTTCGCATACAATATATACTTTCATCTGCTGTAAATGTACTACAAATAAACAACAAAAAAACCATCAAAATTAATTCAATTATCAAAATAAAACACTTTACTTGGTAAATTTGACAATAGCTTCGCATAGTCCGACGTCTTTAATTTTCGTATCCAATTCACTTTCGGCTGGATGATAGAACATTATTTTATTTTTCTCCTGCGAATGTAAAAAAAACAGTTGCATTGATTTATTCAATTTAATTATTACAAAAGCAACATTTGTAAAATAAATATTACCTCGCCTTCGGTGGATCCGTATTTCGAATTGAAAATAAAGAATTTTTTCAGCTCAATCAGCCTGGTGTTATTGGCATCGTCGTTTGTTTCAGTCATTTTCAAACTATATTTTTATTCGATAGCGATTTTTAATTTAAAAAAAACTACACCTATATAGGCCTAAAAACTTAACAATAAATATAGGTGTTACTCATCGATTAAAACAGATTAAAAACATCAAATTATTTTTGAAAATGTCAAAAACTGAAACCAAACGATGTCAAAGTCTAGTGTAGAAAAATAAAAACTTCATCGTCCGTATCGTTTCATATGTTTACGAATGCGAACAATTCATGTAGACGTGTATGGTAAAACGTCATTCGATCACCCAACAAATGTGTAGTACATTATTCGAATGGGAATTGTTATTTATTTAATTGTTATTTTGTGTTGCATAGACCAGAGATCAGTGAAATAATAATGGAGAAGACAAAGTCATTTAAAAATCCAAAACCAACCATAAAATTAAGCGATTTAGATTTTACACCAGTATATATTGCACTTTTTGTGGTTCTCATTTCAATTGGTAAGTAATGAACATTTGTTTTATACCAAATTTGTTGAAGTGAATGTCATTCTATAAATTCGGTTTTATTTGCACATTTATTGTAGTACTGTTCTTCTTGTGGAAAAAGAAATCTCAGAAACGGACCGATCTTCTGTTGACCGGACTCTGTGAATCCGGTAAAACATTATTGTTTTCACAGCTATTGCACAATGTGGTTTGTGAAACGTTCACATCAATTGCTGAAAATGTTGGTGATTATTTAGCTGAAGGTAGTGGCAAAGTGCTTCGTGTTATTGACATTCCAGGCCATGAACGATTGCGTGGTCGGTTCTTTGATCAATACAAGAATACCGCAAAAGGAATCGTTTTTGTTGTCGATAGCACAACAGTTCAAAAGGATATTCGTGATGTGGCCGAGTATGTATTTAATATATTTAAGATAATTCACCTAAACTCCCAAACTATAATTAATTTTATATCATTTTCCAATTCCATAGTTATCTCTACACAATTTTAGCTGATCCAAGTGTTGCTTCAGTGCCCATATTAATTGCATGTAATAAGCAAGATGAAACCTTTTCCAAGGGCAGTTCCGTGATAAAACCGCTACTTGAAAAGGAATTGTAAGTTGCAAAATCTATGAAAGATCTCCTCTAAATAGTCTGATTATTCATAAAACATGTGATGATGTGTGTCTTCTTTAGGAATTTGGTTCGAAACACACGTCAAAACCAACTCAAATCTGTGGATAATTCAACATCGGAGGCTGTCTTCCTGGGAAAACAAGGAAAAGACTTTGAATTTGGCCATCTTTCACAGTCCGTCGATGTCATTGAATGTTCTGGAAAAGATAATGAAGTCGACAGCATCGAAGATTGGCTGAAGCAATTTAATTAGAAACAAAACGAAACACGTACACACATAACATACACATACAAATACATAAATAAAACCATTAGATCCCATTTGAGTTTTTCTATACTATTTATTAATGTCCGTTGTTCTCTAATGACCGACTAATGTCAAACAATTTAAATAATAAATGGGCTTATACTTTTCTTATAATTTTTGTATTTGTCAACTTTTGCGAATAATTCGGATTTGTCTAGCCATTCAAAATTGATATTTTTGTTATTTACTTGTCCCGATTTTAAAATGGCACGATAAAAGAATACTTTTCCACCGATAACCTCACCCCGAATGGTTTTTGGGTATTTGTATTTATAAAATCCGATTGGAGCCTTTCCATAAACCACCGTTTCCATATTGTCACCGCAAAATTCTTTAATTACTCGTTGAGCAGTATCGTACAATGTTTCATTCTCGGCAATTTTCCCTTGGGGTAGCATGAAAATATTATCGTTGCCAATTTGTTGTTCTACAATCAGTGTTAGAGAATGATCAAGTTTACGTTCCGTTGATTTTAGATCATTTTTTTGATCGGCTTCTGTGGTTCGGGATGCCGGTTGAAATCTACTCAGCTCTGACTTCCATGCATCTTTTAAATCAAGTGCCGTGTCTTTGACTACACCATACAAATCATCCCCTTCAACTTTGGCCTTGCCTTCATTCACATTTTGAATTTCTCTCTCTTCTCGAAGCTCAAAATCAGATTTATAGCTATTTTCAAACTCTATTTGCCGCAATAGATCCTAATTATAATAAATTCATATGTAAACGATCAAGTGATTTTTTCGTTTCGCAGCACATCATATCATACCTGATAATCACGTTCTAGTTTGTTCAATGTTTTTGTTATGACTGGCAATCGCTCAATTTGCACACCGACCAGTAGATCCCATTTTGAAGGTTCCGCATTTGCCAATGTCGATCGATTCCGAATTTGTGGAATAGCTCGATATTTTATACAATTGATCGTTTGTCTCAACATTGCGAAAAAAAAAAAAAATTACTTAAAAAGTAAATTTGATTTATGCAAAACAGTTTTTTTGTCGAGACTATTTCAGACACTGTTGTGCTGAAGGGAAAAAAATAACATTGAGGTTAGGAAATGTTGACATTTTTCATTCGTTTCAGATTTACAATGTTATTTTTTTTAAACCACACACTCACTTATCAAGCTGTCATCAGCACGTTGCCACTATAAACTGTATTTGTAAATACAAAAACGAATTTTTGGTGTGTTTGTCTACTTCTTTTTTTTGAAAACAGAATCATAATGACCGAAGATCAAACTGAAGCCGTTGTTTCAACCGAAAAGCAGTCAGAGAATGGTAATTAATTAATCATTGGAATTCATCAGATTAAATTAAGTTAGAATTTCATTTGTGTTTTTGTAGCGTCGATTGAACCGCAGAATCAGACAGAATCACCAGGCAGCAATAATCGTAATCTCAGCAAAGCATTCATTTATAATGAGTAGATTCTTAAATGGTTTTTTTTTCAGCATTTAAGACCGACAAGAAACCGCCCAAACGAAAAAAGTTGAAGAAATTAGCTGAAACTGAAGAATCGCAGACCAATGAAAATGAAGAAGAAAATGGAATGCCAGCACCTCCACCGTCCAAAAGACAGAAAAAAAAGCAAAAACAGCAACAGAACATCGTTCGGAACAAGGACAAAGAAATCGAAAAAACGATCTCATACTTAGTCAAGTGGGATACAAGTAGAGATGAATGGAAATATGAAAAATTACGCCAAATTTTTATTCAAAAGAATGTATTCGATGAAAAAGTCATTGACACCGAACACTGTGATGTTGCGATCAAGTATTTGGCCACATCAAAGGTAATTTCTTGAATTTATTATGAGAGTAACAGATAACAATCTGTCTGCCACACCTGAATTAAATCCATTTTCTAGAATGAGAATATGGTTCCATTTTAATTACCAATTGTTTTTTTATTCATTTCTCTATAGGGTCATTCTCGGGCGATGATAATCGAATCAGCTGAAGCTATTATTAAGGAAATTGAAACAAAAATTACAGACGAAAATCAAGAGGAACTAACATCATCAGCACGTTACGAACGTGCACGTCAAATACTACAATCAATGGATGAATAAAGTCCCGTAAATTATTGTGTTAAGAAAACAAACAAATGATTATTAATAAAAAAAAGTTTATTTCAAAACAAAAACCATGTTCAATCAACAAAAAATTGGGTTTTTTAAACTACCAAAAGTTTGGCTGTAGCGTTCCACTCGGCGGTGTAATTTTGTTTTGATTAACGATGTTGGTGATGAGTTCCTTGAGCCGCGCAAATGGACCACCACTGTCAATCTGAGAAGAACAAAGAAATTGTTGTAAATTCATATTTTTTTTAAAACTCATTCATAATTTAAAGGTCTTATACACTTCTCATTTCTTACCTTTTCCAATTTCGTAATGTATTGATTATAAAGTAGTATCAACAATTTCATAAACTGCTTTTTGTAGACTTGACACATTTCAGCACCACATATTTGAATAAATTCAAGCATAAGTGACGCACTAATGCCTGGCAGCGGGTCAAGCATAAGAAAATTTGAAAACCAAATCCAACCATATTCGATGCCATGTGGATGCTCTAAATGTTGTTGAGACCGTCTTAATTTTGTTATTAACACAGCTGAATAAAGTCGTTGTAGACCAGATATTCGTTTCAAATGTTGTTCTTCATCTTCCATTTTATCATCGTTAAACTTATATCCCAACGTTCTAAAAGAAGAAGAAAAAAAAATATCATATCACTGGGCTTTCCATTTCAATTCAATGTCCATGTGTAAATGTGTAATTACTTGAAGTATTCGGTGTCTGTTTGTCCATTCTTTTGAGGTATAATATATGGAACCAAAAACGGACATTCTATATAGAGCAGGGCTAGGAAAAGTTTTCCGACATCAGGAAACAGTTGCCAAATCGATACAAGGACTGCTGCGATTGGGAAGGCTGCTTGATGATGACTGCTGGTTACAGTTGTTCCTTGTGTCTGTTAGAACGAGCATTTTGATTCGTATTTTATTAAAAATCCTATTGACAATGAGGACATTATAACTCACAATGAATTTCTTCGCTAACAAAAATGTACAGTATTTAATTCCGAGTGGATGTTCTGCGGCCGAAAATTGAATATCACCAGGTAGAAGCGTTGGATTGCCCGACAATAAATCCGAGATCTTTTTAAACTTATCCTGTGAGAGCAAAAACAGGGAAAATGAAATAAAATCGAATTTCATCGACAATATAAAGTAATTATTTCATACATACCTGAAGATGTTCGACGCTAACGGCAGAAATCGAATTGACTGGAGTATTCACACTTTTCTGGCAATTGAATCGAAATTTTTTCAAATTATCATCGTTGCTTGTAAAAAGTGGTTGAATTTCAGCGTAATAATCTCGATGATAGTTTATCAATTCAAAATATTGAGCGATGCGATCTTCAGAGCCGGCATTGTTGTTTGATCGAATGACCGGAATTTGTGGTTGGCTTGCGTTGCCATCGGTGACAGAAATTTCGTTCGCATTGGTTGTTCGGTTCGTGTCGGTTGGATATTTTGGCAATTCATTTTTGACTGGTACACTATTTGTTGGTTTTGTGGCTGCATCACATGTAGCAATTTGATTCAATAAATCTTTACTGCTTTGAATGATATCATTTAAATCGTTTTGTTCTTGTTTGATATCCGAACACAAATTCTCAAATTGTTCAGTTTCCGTAATGGTTATTGGTTTTGAATTGACTAATTTAATGATATTTTCATAACGTTTCAACAATGTATCTTGTTTATTCGTTGCATCGGCCAATTTACCAATTTGATTCAATAGTGTCTGGTGATTGATGATCGTTTTTGCAAACAATTCGAATAAATTGATGAACAACAGCTTATTTGCATTGACACTTTCAAACAACAAACGAATTTCATCCTGTCGTTTCAGTTGATTTGCACGTTCAATTAACTTTCGACTGTGTTCAATCATTTCAGTTTTTTTCATATTCGATTTTATTTCATCGTTTTTGGCTTCGGCTTCGATTTGTTCAATCGCTTTCAATGCCAGTTTTTCACGTTCCAATCGCTTTGCTGAATTTTGCTTTTGTTTTTCAGCCGAATCGATACGAATTTGCTGTAAACGTAACTCTAGCTCGGAGTCCCATTGGCATTGTTTCTCTTGTAAATCTGTGGAAATTTTGGCGCGACGTTGTCTCTCTGCATTACTTGCAGCCAAACGAAAACTGATTGCTTTACAGTCGCTCAATTGAATTATATTTTTTGGCGTTTCATCAATGTTTACCTCACGCCAAACATCCTTACGGAATTTGCTTCCATTTAGTGTTCCATATTTCGTTGATTTATTATTGTTATTATTCGTCATTGACGATTGATCACACCTGTTGTCAATGCGCTCATTTTCTTCTTTGAGATAGTTTGCCGTCTGATTTACACCATTCGTATCCCTTGGACCAATTGTCCTTTCTTGTACTAGTGGTGATATTTTTGCTGCATTTACCAATGCTGAAATTTTTAAATTTTCTACCGTATCGGCCAGAGCGTTGACCACGTCGTGTTGCATTTTAGACTGAAATTCAATGATCACTTAGTTATACAATACAAAAAAAAACCGAAATTATCTTCTATACCATACATACCGACTGTAAAATTGAAGTCATTTCATTTAAAAGAGTGTAAGTAATGTGAATAATAACTAATGCAATTAAATGAAGACACGATCTATTTACAACCACAAGAAAATTGACCAACAAACAAAATATGAGTGTAATGTTTTCGTTGAGTATCTCTCTCTTTCTCTCTCTCTTAATGCTTGAAATGTCAATGAGAAACTGATAGCGTTCAATGTTGGTACGAACTGTCAAATGAGCAATGTCTACAACTTTGGATGTTTGGAGTGAGTTCAAACAGACACATACATGTATAAACAAAATAATAAATCGTTTTTTTAGCAGAAAAATAATGATTTTTTTATTTAACATAAAATAGCCATAATAAAAAGTCATTAAAAATAGAGAGACAAAAATGACATTTAAAAATAAAGTTCGTATTTTTTTGTCATATAAATAACAAATAGACTTAAAATTTACAGTCTGTTTGGTTTCTTCATTTTCTTTGTTATATAGGCCATTTTGTTCGTTGTATATTTTTTGATTAACATTTTTGTACATTTTTCCACTATCTTCATTTTTCTTGTTGACCTGTTGGACATAAAAACAGAACAAAAATCGATTAGTGCTAATCACCTACCAAGAAATACGAAGAACATTTTCAAAATTAAATGTACCTGGATTTTGGTTTTTTGCCTTTATTGATGCAGCACAGTCCTCCATCTCTTTTACAACTTCGGTGAGCTTGATTACCTGCCCTTTTAATGTTTGTGCCGACGCATCCAAAGTATCCGTACATTCATTATCGCGTTTTTCACTATTTTTTTTTTTTTTGATTCAAATATATATTTATAAAAAACGAACTGATAATGATATTTTTATGAAGAAAAAAGCAAAAACTTACGATTTATATATACGAAGACTTTCGAGAAGATCTGCAACTGAATCGACAACACTATCGACTGCTTGCTTGATGTTTTTCTTCTTTTTGGTTGTAGATGTGGGCCGGTTTGCATTGAAAGACGAGTCCGAGTCAGAGGGAATATTACGAGATTTGGTCAAAGTGAATTTGAATCTCTTTCTTCTTACATGTTCGCTGCCTGAAGTAACTGATTCTTCCGATGAGGCATCGGTTGCCTCTCCCAATCGATCCTCCATTATGACGACAAAGAAAAATGTATTGGAAGTATATTGAACGATGAAAGGTTTGTGATAAAGTGTAATCGAGGAAATGTAAACGTCTTTTGAATGCCACTAACTATCGTTGACAAATTTGTATCCGCTTGTGCGCCATCTGCTTTAATCATTTTAGGGTTGCCCACTTTGAATCGCATATCTCTCCATATATAGACACTTTGAATGTTTTGAGTGAGTTCAAATAGACAGCAAGAAAAATAACACAACAAAAAAGAATTGAATCGTTTCTCCATCAGTGTGAATGTGTGTATGTTGTTGACAGCTTTAATTGAAATTTAGCCGATCATTACATATATACGCTCAGTTTTTTTTTTTGCAATTTCGACAACACAACTTACAATTCCAATTTAATTTAAAATAAAAAAAAATCCAAAAAATAAAAGAAAAAACGTGAATATCCCAAATTTCTGTGCAGGAAATGGATTTACAGATGTTGATTGATATGGGATTTTCCCAAGAAAAGGCGTAAGTACTTGCAAAAAAAAATGATTATAATTTGATTTCTTTATGCATTTGAGATAACAATCGTTTGATCGTTTCGATAAATTTCAGACAAAAAGCATTAAATGTAACCGGTAACAAAGGTGTTGAACCGGCGATGGAATGGTTGCTGGCCCATTCGGACGATGCAGAAATAGCCCCCGAATGTGTTTCAGCCGATTCAACAAACACGACCGAATCAAATGTGGGAGGTGCCAGCACAAGTGAACCCCAAGAAGTCAAATCATTCAAATGCGAAGAATGGTAATTATTAGACAAATTCTTAATTATTTGCTGACTGTTTTATAATATTGATTGGAATTTGTTCGTTGTTTGTATGTTGTAGTAATCGATTGTTTAAAAATCAAATGGAAGTGGAATTTCATGCTGCTAAATCCGGACATAGTAATTTTTCGGAATCGACCGAAGAAAAGAAGCCATTGAGCGAAGATGAAAAGAAAGAGCAATTAGCCCGGCTAGAAGATAAATTGCGTCAAAAGCGTATGGAGCGGGAAGAAACAGAAAAGCGTGAAGCGCTTGAACGTGAAAAATTTCGAATTAGAAGTGGTAAGGATTATTGATTCTTTTTCGATTATTTTAAATTAATTGTATTCTTTTCTTTTGTGATTCTCCCCTTAGGTAAGGATATGTCAGAAGCACAGCGAAAAGTTGAAGAACAAGAAATGAAAAAATTGGTGGAACAAAGAAAACGTGAAAAACAAGAGGATCGAATGGCCCGCGAGCGAGTCCGCGCACAAATCGAAGCTGATAAAGCTGCACGCCGAGAGCAAATGGCACAGTGAGTATTATCATTGTAATTTGTTTGAAAAAAAAAAATCAGCTAATTTGTCCATTTTTAATTCATAAATTTAGACTTTCTGGAAAAGCCAGTACCACTGCCGCCATCTCACCACCACCAAATACAATCACTATAGCCGAACCGTCGTCAACCTCCTCGACAACAAATACATCGAAGTCATATGCAAATACGCGCATCCAAATTCGTTTGCTGAATGGAAGCACATTGGTCGAAACGTTCGATGTCAAAGAACAATTGTCGGCCGTACGTTTGTTTGTGCAAATAAAGCAAGGCATCGACGAACCATTTGGTTTAATGACAAACTTTCCGCGCAAAGTTTATGGCGACGAAGACTATGAAAAACCACTCGAACAACTTGGATTAGTACCCTCTGCCGTTCTAATTTTGACCAAATCCAAATAGATTCATCATCCTTTTTATTTTCTATAAATGGTGAATGTAACAAAAAAAAACTACATGAAAACACAATTTACGTAAAGTAAATAATTTGCGAAGTCAAACAAATGAAATTAATCATAATATAATTAAAACGAGAATAAAGAACTTATACTGATATGAAATTTATGTTTATTGTTGTATGTTAGAATGGCACTGTCTATACGACTATTGTCGTTGCGAAATCTTAAATTTTTCAACACCAGTTTGAAAGATATAATTTATGAACTTAAATCGACTTAAACTAAGAGATAATCTGGAAAGGTAATTTTCTGCTTCAAAATGCTCTGCATGAAACCCTCCGAACTGACAATCTGAACATCTGGATGAGCTTTTCGGTATGCGTTCCACATTTTGCTGTCTTTTTTATTTGATATTAGTACAGCTACTGTATTTGGTTTTCGCTTTTTATCAGGATTGTCCGCAAACTTGCCGCCGCAACATTCAACAATTTCCGCTATTTCTTCTTTAGTTGGTTGAACATTGTGCGTTGCAAAAATATGGTAATTTTTGAAGAGTGGTGTGTGACGTGCAATTTCTGTTTCAATATTGTAATTATTTAATAAATTTATCCATAAATGAAAACGGAACAAAAGGAAAACCAAACAAAATTTACCCAGTGATTTTTTCAAATTGAATTGATATCGTTTTTCTGAATTCTTATCAACTAATAGATACGAATTGGTGGGCTCGAATTCGCCATTTTTTGCGGATACGTCTAACCAACGCGATGATACTATCGGAATGCCTTTGGACATAGCATAAAGAAATTTAAATGTACGACCAACGCGATCACAGATCAAAACCGTTCCCAATTGCACCGTATCTACGATACAGCCACCCAATTTTGGGATCACAGTTGTATATGGAGCTGGATTAACTAGAGTAAAAAGGATAGCTTGTCTTGTTGAATTACGCGTTGATACACGTTCAGAGTTTCGACGATTTGTGGGCAGTAAGTTAAGAGAATCGTTTGTAGTGGTCTGTGGGACAAAAAAAAGTCGTAAACATTTTGTTTGGATTAATTTAATACTAATTTGATTGTGATGACAATAAAAGAAATTTAAACCTTTTAAATTTGTAAAATCGTTTGCGATTTGGATTACATTGTTTTTCATGTTAAATTTAAAATTTTATTTGATCATGTTTTTATTTTAGTTTTTTTTTTTAATTCAGAACAGATTGAGTTCTGAATTTGTATTGCTTTGCTTGTTAGTTGGCAATTGATATGACTCGGGATCTCAATATTCGCTGCACAGCCAATATATATAAATATGCCAATTGTTCGCGTTTGATTGATTGTTCGTGATCGAATTAAAAAACAGAAATGAAACAAAAATAAAAAAATTTAGTGATGAAATACAACATCGATCGCATTCAAATTGTATCATGACAGTTGAACGTTTGTGCAATTGGTTGCTGAGATCTTTATTCTTACAAACGATTGACGGTCATGATACAGACATCCTCATGTAAAAAATAAATAAATGGAATTTGTATATAACGCTAAAAATATATTACTCACTGTGCGTGTTTGTGTTGGTTCCTCCTTTGTATGGCTTGTTTTTCTTGTTCTTCGTGTTTTTGGCTTGTCGATTTCAGCGTTGTCAATTGATTTTGTCGATGATGAAGTGGCCGGTTCCATTTTGTCGCGTTTTTCCTTTGGTTTTACGGTGACCGGTTCTGGTTTTCGTTTGTTGTTAGTTGAGCCGTTTCGAGTTTCCACTGTTCGTTGACGTAAATTACGTTCTTTGGTGTCTTCAATTGTAGTTGCCTTTGCGTTTTTCTTATTTTCGCTCGACGCTTTTTGTAATTTATCCTTCGCATGATTCTTGCTTTTGTTCGACACCTCATTTTCCATCAATTTCGAAAATTCGTCTCGTGAAAGATTGACCGATACACGTCGCAATTTAATATTTTTTGGATTTGTTTCGATGCCATCCAGTTTGGATTTTTTTGACACTGCAACTTCATTGTAATCATCATCGCTATCCGAATTGGAACGTTTTATAAAATTAGCGGATTTACGGCGTCTTGGTGGTTCTTGTACCGGTTTCGGAAGATCAAATTCTAAATCATCTTCATTCTCATCTTCCTCTGAACTTGATGAAAATAAACGTCGATTTTTCTTGACTTTATCTTTTTTCTTCTGTTCGGCGTCAAGTTTTTTCCGTTGTTCTTCAAGCTGTTTTTCGTGCCTGTCGATGTCATCTTTTGTAATTCGTGCTGCCAATGACCAATCTGGTGTATTCGCCGGTTGACTACTTTCTGTTGCAATGGCTTGAAAACGTTTCTTTGCTGGCATACGTGATAATTGTAACCTTTGTGTGGGCATATCATAAATGTCGATTTCATCAGTTGGAGGCTCGATTATCTGTGTTTCCGCTTCAAAAATACCATCTTCATCTGGATTTTCATTTATGGCGGATGCATCACTCGTAACATTTGGCTGTACGAATACCTGTGTCTCCATATCGAATATTTCATCTACCGAATAAAAAGTTTCTTAAAATGATGCCGAAAAAAATTCAATCAAAATATACCTGAATTATTGTTTTGGTTTGACTTTCGTTCCCATGTGACGGTCTTTTTTGCTGACATTCGACTTTCTGGTTCCAATCTTTGTGTCGGTTCGTCGTAGATGCCAACGTCCTTTTGTTTGGTTGCAACTTTTGGTGTACTTATGGCCATCGGTTGTTTGAAAATAGCTGGGGGTGGTTGTGTTGCAACCGCAAAAATGTCTTCAGTTGATGAGGTTTGATTCGGTGAAAGGGCTTGAATTACTTGATTTGTGCTTTCATCAAAAATGCTTTGCGAAAACATCTGAGTTTCATCACAATCATTTTCTTGTGGCTCTTCTGCCGCCAATTTTAATTGATGAACTTCATTGGATTGTGTCAAAAAATCAAGATCGGGCGTTGAAGATTCACTGCGATCAACTCGACGATTATTTGTTTCATCATCGTCGTCAGCTTGAATTTCAACATTTGTGGAATTGGCGTCGTTTTCTGCTACTGTAACACGAGTAGTCGAAGGAGCCTTCGAATAATTTTCAATGCGCAATAAACTTTGATCCAGGTTTACCATAATCATTTGTGACTGAGTTTCGGTAAAGTCTTCTGCCGCTGAATCGGCATGAATGTGTGCAATTTTATTATCGCTTTCATCATCAGACATATCGTTGGTGTAGAATGGGATGTCAACACTCTCGCCTGAACCAGTCGTATCTTCTGGAAAAAATTGTGTCTCTGGAACAATATCATCGTCGTCATTGTCGTTGGTGTTATTGTTGTGAATGTTTTCGGATTCGAACATATCACGTGAATCGTCATTGTCTATTTGCAATCCTTTGGATGCATCGGTTGTACCGTTATCTGTAACGATCAATGTTTCGTGTCCAGTCACTTCATGTTGTGGTTGTTTGTTAGCAATGTCCTTTTGTGCCGCTTCAAAAGCAGTTTCGAACAAATCCGGTACCTAACGCCATTTTGTATTCGATATTGTTTATTTCATTTCGTATAAAATTTTAAAAAAAGCAAAAAAGCTTACATTTAGTATGTCTTTTGTCGAAAAATCAATCTTTGTTGCTGTATACTTAGCAACCGTTGACAAGAACTGAAATTTAGAAAAAGATTTAAAACATTAGCATCAATTGTGTGACAAAAGGTTTTTATTTCCAATTTCGATTGTCTTTAACAGCTCACCAATTTGATATTGTTGTTGCATTTCTGAAAAACTGCATTCAAATTGGCATCGTTTTCATCTTCCATGGCTACGCTGATCTTAGTTCTGCGAAATATTCAATTACTTGAAGACGTACTTTTTTGCGTGTTTTTTTTTTTAAATGAATGCACTCGCGCTAAATTCAGAAACAATGTGATGAAATGTTTGAAATTTGTTGACATAATATGTCAGAATTAAAAAAGTGTGACCCGATTGAAAAAAAAAATCTCCACATTCTGTATTATTCGACTGACTGTCGATGACATATTCAAAAAGGACAAAATGTAGCTCTGTTTGTGTTTTGGCGAACATTATTGTGATGGAAAAATGAACAAATTCGCAAATTGGGAAAGATTAGGCTTGATTAATTTTTTTAATTCAGAAGCAGCAGCTGATACAGCCATTCCTGTGGCAAAAATTGTATCAAAAAACATGCTGCAAACTCCGCAAACGAATTCAGGTTAGTATATTGACACGATCACTTAACCGAACAAAATGATAACATTTTCAATATTCTCATTTTCAGAGGCAATTGATGTAATCTTACTACATTCGTCAAGTACGGAAAGCATACTTAATCGAAAGTCCATTAGAAAAGGGAATTTATTTCGATATTTACACAGTAAAAAGCAATCCGTAACTAGTGAGTTTACAAAACAACTCTTGATAGAAAAGATTCTTCAGTATTGGAAGCAGCTATATTACTTATCCGATGATGATGATGATGGTACCGTAAATACCAAAAATGAACTCCCTCAAGATGTTCAGGTGCCCGCAAGTAATCACAACAGTATTGCAACGAATGACCACCATCCCGAGCATTTTCCAATCAATCAAATGGCTCGAACATTTGCCACTTGGTTCTATGAAAATTTAAACTCAAATCGATTGCAAGCCAATGACTTTTTTTGTGATTGCAAGTGTACGGTACGATTTTTGGAAAATCAACAAATTCTTATGGAAGAGGAGCATTTGAGCGCCCAAAACGTGTTGGAATTTTGTCAATCGCTGTTGTCTAAGTACAATTTATACTTGAATTTAAATATCAGTCACTCAGGAACACAGGGACGAATTGACTGTCATGGTTTGGTGTTGGTACTGACTTGCGGTTCATTACACAAAGTTGATCAATTTGTTGGAACATTTGAGGCAATTTTTGGATTGAGCCGTGATCCGTTTAGTCAAAACAATTGGAAAATAAATCAACTCAATTTACGTTTGCACAACTTCAACACACAACAATCGCAAAATACATCGTTATCGATCGAACAGCCAACGTTAATCACGAGCAATGCTATTGTGCCGCTACTTAGTTTATCAATGCCAAAAGGAGATGATGAAATCGGATAATTTTATGCAACAATTTTCTTTAGATTTTAGTTTGACGCAAATAAAATTTATTAAACCAATACTCATGTAGTTGATATTTTTGTTGTTCGTAAATGTTCAAGTGTGAATTGAGAGATGGCACCACTACTACGAAAAAAATACTCTCACTCACCACGACAAGTATTGACAATATTTTGACAATTGCTTATAACAAAACAAATTTATGTTTTATATAGTTCTCTGTGTTTACAAATAGATTGGCATTACTTCATTTTCATTTTTTTTTTTCGTTGAGTATGCATTTAATTTCATTGTAGTTGCAATCGACTCGAATAAAAAAAAGCGTTAATAAAAAGAAATATTAAATTATAAAAAGAGAAAAGGGAATAGCAAAAAAAAAGTTGAATCCGATCAAAAATCAACAGAAATAGAAATAACCTTTAGAAAATGGCATCCAACGATTCAGGAGTTGACACAAGCAACGATAGTTTTTGTACGAACGATACTAGTAATAATAACAGCGCCAATACCTCAATGAATGGTCAAGAGGGCTGCAGTAGTTCTTTAATGGACGCAGCAGTGACCCGAGCACTAAGTCAGGCAGCCCAAAGTTTTGAATCATTTCGTTCATCAACAGCATCGACATCATCGTCATATGAAGGAACAAGTTCAGCACAAAGTTTTCGACGACCAGATCGAATGTCCGAATGGAAAGAAAGTCGAAAAGATACACGTCGCTATCAACATCATCATACAACTCGTCATGCATTAGTGCCGTATGTGTGTAAATTACCGAACGAACGAAAGTTACGTTTGGCAGCGTCGGTTTCAAATATAGAACTTTTGGTTCGACTATTGGACAGTGGCGTGAATCCGGACGCAGCCGATGAACATTTCCGAAGTCCATTACATTTGGCATCGAGCCGTGGATATAAAGATGTTGTTAAAATTCTACTAACACGCGGTGCAAATCCAAACAGACAAGATTCACTCGGCAATACACCTCTTCATCTTGCTGTGTGTTCAGCTAGCTCATACAATTTCAATATGGTTTGTACTTAATTTTCTTTTCTGTTTACATTTATAAAATTGAATTTTGTTTATTTCAATTGTTTTCTACATTTATTTAATTACAACGTCTCCGTATACAATTATTTGTCATATTCAATCATTTTTCAGGTGGTGCGTATCCTTTTACAAAATGGTGCTCGTGTAAATATATGCGATAGATCGGGAAAAACGCCCTATGATTTGGCGAGAAGTAAATTGCTTTTGATGCGTTCCCGTCTCGATGTAGGCATTACACCAGAGACAGCAAAATTATTTGTTGAAATGTCAATGTTAACAGGTCTATTGTATAAAACATTAACACAACAACGCAATGACATGGAATTCGACGATTTGGAAGAACGTCTACGTAATTTAACAACAAAAGAAATTGAAGATGGCGCAGACAATCTTCTTTTATGCGATGTAGCCGGTCTAACAATCTGAACCAACTTTATATATTAGACAAGGCCGACCATTTTTACTCGTAGATTTTTCGGTTTTGTTTTCCTAATTAAATCATAGTACAGTGTAGTTGTATATCGTAAGGTAATTTGCTTATCAGAAAGTTGTGAAAAATATTTTACAAGCCAGAAGAAATAAATTTACCATGCGATTTCGCACTTTTATAAGATAATTGTAATAACGGAAGTCTTTTTCTTATACCATGGCCCATGTATTTTCAATTCTGAGAGTATTTTCTTTTTTCGAAATGAATTAATTTCTGAACCGCTATAAAGTAGAATTTCAATTTTTTTCAAAAGATAATTTCCAGGGAAATTATTATTATGAATTCTGATTTCATGAAAAATTAAATTGACCAAAATGGAAAATGACAAAATCAAAAATCGTGCTCCATTGTGCCACAACCAAAAAGAGTAAATATGGTCAATACAACAATTTTTTTAAAGATATTTTTCATAAGCGACTCCTCGTGGCAACAAAATACAATGAGTATGTGGAGTTTAACAGGTTGTATAAGAAATTTGGGGAACTTCATGAATTAACAATTGGATATTAAATGAAATATGATGAATTCCTTCACTTTATTGAGATTTACTCATAGGTATGCTACGTTCCTCAGTGAGTTTATATTGATTCAATATTATTGAATCTCATTCATTTCGACCATTTAAACATAAATTTTTTCGATTTAGCTTTTACAAAAACTCATCTCAAATCATAACTGGATATTGTGGTTTAAATTACTTTATTTATCATATAATTACTTTTTATTCGGATTTTTACATTCTGAATTATTTATAAAGAGTCGAGTTTAAAAAAAATTTTAAATCACATAATTCGAATTTTATTGTTGATAAAATGAATTACATTGCAAAACTTATTGCTTGTTTATTGCTCAATATTGTAAATTCTATTAAAAAAGATCTGTATTCACTATTAGATGAAAATTGGAAATGTTGATATTATTTATTATATTCGATACTTCGGTGTAAGAATGGATAAATGTGAGAGTTGTATAAATTAAGAGTCAAATCAATGTCGTTAAATCACTTCAACTGCCACGATGTTTGCAACAAAATGAAATAAAATCATATATATTTGGGGAATAAACTAGAACGTCTTCAACGATAAAATGAAATTAGAAAGTCATAAGAGTTCAGGTTTGTGAAAATTTTAAATAATTTTTGTTTATTTGTTGTTGTTTTTTTGGGACATAAATCATCGTTAAAAATAATATTAATGATATTAATGATAACGATCAATTGTTTTACAAATCTGACTATTCGCATCATTGCTATTGAAAAAATTGTACTCAAAATGGGCAGCATTGATTATAGATTATACCTATTTCGAGCCACACATCTTCGTCTTCTTCAATCACTCATTATGATAAAGAGCTGCACGCAACATAGTTTCTTACATCTTTTCTTGTATGAATGGATGTGCAAGAGCCAAATTCAGCGACAGACGCTTTGAGGGATCCAATGCGAACAAAGAGTCAAGCAAATCACGCAATTGTGAAACCTTACGCAGTTGATCGTCCGGCAAATTTTGATCCGCTACCAGCTCCTGATGAAGACTCCTCGTAGGCTTTATAACTGGCATAACGACAATTTTTTCCTATCAAAATAGAAGAACATGGAAAATTTAAATTTAGCAATTATTTAATTAAATTGAATTGATATACCTACCCGTTCAGTTAACCGATCGATTTCATGCGATAGAAAATTACCATTCTGGTCGAAATGCTGATCTTTGAATTGTCCCTTCCTTATCACTTTATTCGGAATTTTTCCCTTTAAATCCATAAAAAATTTTAACATTTGATTATTTGATTTGCCGCTGAATAAAATTTTTCCCGTATACAATTCATAAATAGTACAGCCAGCCGACCACATATCAATTCCATAATCATATTGCATACCAATGATGATTTCGGGCGCTCGATAAAATCGCGATACCAGATAGGGTGTTATTTCATTGTCAGAGATATGTGTTGCTGAACCAAAATCACATAATTTTAGAATTAAGTTGCTCTCGTTGACAAGAATGTTGTCCGGTTTGATGTCGGCGTGTAAAATGCCCGTTTTCTTCAATAATTTTAACGCTAAAAATAGTTGTTGTGTATAACTGCGCACAGCTTTTATGTGAAGACCAACATTTTTGCCATACTTTTTAAGCACTTCTCTCAAATTCATCGACAACGGTTCGAATACCATACATAAATGCTAGAAAATGATCAACGAAAAAATAAATCAACAAATTTTGAAAAATGCTTTGCTTAATTAATATTTTACCTGTTTGTGGAAAAAATGGCGATGCAACCGAAGACAATGATATCGATCATCTGGATCGGCGTCATTTAATTTTTTCAGGACCTCCAACTCTCTCAAACCAGTTTTGTGCCTAAACAATAATCGTAGCATTTTTTTTATTTTTCAAACGATTTTAAATCAAAAGTAAAAAAAAGAAAGATGGCAAATTGGGAATAAAAACTCACATGATTTCATTGTTTCTAATGATTTTAACAGCCACATGAGCATTGCCTCTGGCTTGATCTCGTGCACTCACCACATTACTGAAAACACCTTGACCAGTGAAACCAAACACACTGTATCGATTATCCAAAATCTCTCCAATTCGAACACGATAGTAGCCCTCGGCATCATCCCAATTATCAGTTAAAGCGGGATTTTCGACAGTGTTTTTGTTAGCAATGATTGTACTTGGACTCTATAGTTCAAAGAAAACAATTTTTTGTCATTGGAAATGGATGAAGAACTCAATAGTTAATATATTGCTTACATCAAAATTGGAATCAATATCTTGTTCGGCAAACATGTCCCAATCAGTACGTTTGGTAGCCCCATTCCCATCAGTTTTTGACTTTAATGCATCCTTATGTTTCTCATCGTCCTGATCATGATCGATTTGCGGTGGTGGCGTTTCGGATTTATTAACTTCACTTTTATTTTTGTCATGTGAAAATAAGTGCTTAAACGATTTCGGTCCAGGTTCTTCAACGAATATTACATCGTCGACACTTTCGTCTGTCATCGTTTCATTGATTTGTTTCGAGCGATTTTCTTTCGTTGTACCCGATAATTTCTGTTCATTTTTACGAAAATTTATATTGTTACGTCTAATATGCAAATGGTGTGGATGATTTGAAAATTTATTGTATACCTTCATTAATTCTTCGCGCTTTTTTCTTCGCATCTCGATGATTTTCTCCTCTTCATCTTCGTCATCAATGTCTATATCGCCCAACTCACTGCCACTACTTGAATCTTTGTGTTTTTGACCTTCACTGAGTGATCCCATATACTTGTCACTTCGTTCCTCTTTTTTCTTCCTAGACAATTCATCTGAACGATATTTTTCATCCCTAAACCGCCTTTGTCTATTTAGATATTGGTCATGACGATCGTATTTATCGTAATGGTCTCGTGGCTTATTTCGATCCTTATTGTAGAAAAAAAGGCACATAGATTGTCGGAAACGAATGAAATTTTATGAGAAAATTGAATAAATCACAGTCTACACAATACGCTTGTGTACTTTCAAAAATAATAATAATAATAGTAATAAAGATATATATAAAAAAAGAAAAGAAATAGTGATCGCCGTCAATTATCTTGCCTTTAAACCTAATCTATTTACCTCCCGTTCTCGTATCGATGCTGAAGACGTCGATGTGGACTGTGTTTGTTTACTTTTGTCGTTTGTTGATAAGCGTGACTTTGAATTGGGCGAATGTGCACCTGATTTAAGAGCAGATGCGCCTTGCCTCCGTGGGCTAACCCGACTACGTTCTTTGTCACGATCGATTTCTTTGCGTAAGTCTTCTTTAAATCGATTTTCAACATCTGAACGACGTGTTTTCGATGATTTATCATTGTCACGATTATCACGATTGTTGTTGCGGCCATTGCCGCTGCTTCGATCTTTATGTGTACGTTCTTTACTTCTCGATCGGCTGCTCCGTGATTTCTTTTTCGGTGGTGATGGTTTTTCGTTAGCATCATTGCTACTATCATCAAGTAGAATGACATCACTAACACTAGCATCAGCGGTTCGTTTCAATTTATTTTTCTCATTGGTTTTTATTTCGTCGGTTGTCGTAGATAATTTATTTATCGACACCAATGGTGTTTTGCGTGATTGTTCACTTTCTGTATCGGACATAGCAATGCCACCCAGTCTTGCTTGTAAGAGAGCCTTCTGACGCATCAGTTCTTCTAGATTCAAATCATCTTCTTCAATGACAGCTACATCGGGACTATCAACATCAAGAACGGTATCGCTATCTGATGCGGATGAAACTACTTGCGTTGATGTATTTGGATCCAGCGATTTCGTTATAAATTCAACTAATTTACTTGGATCGGTCGGTATTTTGTTGGTTGTTTCACGTTTTTTGTTTGCATCTGAACCATTTCCATTATTGTATTTTGTAACTGGAATTTTGGCCACGACAATATGTCCATTCGATTTCATAATTTCGGTGAATTTTGTGTTGAGCGTTGTCGTTGCTCGTGGAGGTAGCTTTGTTTCAAAATCATGACGACTTGATGCGCTCACCGTGTCACTTTTGGTGTTTGTTGTTGTTGCGCCACTTTCTGTATTCGAATCGGACAAATATTCATCGTTCGATTTGGATCGTTTGTGATGTTTCTTATGTTTTTTACTGCTGCTGCTGCTGTGTTTCTCTTTTCCATCCACATCATGTTTCTTTGATTTTTTATTCTTTTTGTGTTTCTTGTGCTTTTTTTTACTTTTTGACGATTCACCATCCCTATCTCGGCGACTACGTTTTTCTAAATCCGATAAATCGTTGTCCGAATCATGAACTCTGAAAGCAAATTGTAACATTTATTCACATGCATTTCATGTGTAAAAGAAATGAAATCACATCGGTTTATCAATTATTTTTTTCAACCTATTGAATACCTATTAATACTCAAATTGCTTTTAGTCAATAAATGTGTGATGCAATTGTGTTAAAGGTTTCACTTACCGTTTCTTATCACTTCCCATGTTGCGATTTGATATCCCCGTGAGTATTGCAAATTCAACGCAGTTTATTTGAATTGTATGTTCAAAAACAAGAAAGAAATTCGGAAAAACAAAAAGTTCATATGAAAGAAATTGTGGTAAAATGATCAAACAAACAACACTTGGTTACGTTTATTGATATACTCGAGCTAGCTCAGTTGTTCGCTTTTGTTGATTGAGTTTGACGTTTTGGGGTGGTGGGCTTGAATTGATGTGTATGTTGCTGCCAATGGATCGGTCGGTGCTCATTTAATTCGCTTACCTCGATTGTCAAATAATTCAATTGAGTATCTAGTTTTATGTGAGGATTCTTTTTTCAAATTAATCACTAGGTTTCTTTCAATCTTTCTTCTTGTATTGTTGATGAATTGGGTCACAGTGAATGTATTATGTGAATTTTAACCTAATGCGATTGCACCAAGCATTTTGACATTTCATGTCGCTTTAAACGTTTCACAACCGATTACATTGACAGAATTGTGCTTTCATTTGGCAAACCAACTTCATGTGTATTCAATAGCTGCATATTTCCACGCCACAATTCCTTCAAACACAACTTCTATTCAAGCAGTCTAAAATAATTGCGTTTTTTAATTACAATAACTTAATTGAAACACAATCATGACATCAACAGCTGGGCCAACCAATCAATCAACATTGTTGCCACTTGGTAAGGCATTCATTTTATTTACAATTGGAAAGAATAAAAACTAAAATGTTTAA